CCTTCTAAACCACTGATTCTGTTCTGTCCCAACCCCACCCCACCCCCGACAGCAAAAAGAGCAAAAATTTTAAAAGCATCCTCTGACATTAATAAGTTAAGGATTCTTCACTAAGATTTCAAATGTTAAAATTGTTACCCTATAGCTAAAATAAAAAATCCATTCATCCCATGCTAATTATGTTAGGCCTTGGAAAAGTTGGCCCCTCTCTATGGAAACAGTGCAGAGAGACCAGGTTCCTTCTCTTTAATTTCAGTATCGCTGGCTCATCTAACCTGACTAGCCATTTGCTCACCCCCAGGCTCTGTCTTTATGTGTCCACACAGCACCTTTGCTGCACCTGAATAGAAATCCACTCACTCTTCACCCACTCAGCAGGCAGTTTGATATCTCCACTGTGTTCATTCACTACATGAAATGTTGTATTGTCCTGGGGAAATGATGGGCAGCCAGTGTGATGACCTCCAAGCTTCCCAGGTGGAGACAAAAGGCCAGTTTCACATTTCTGCCATGTAGCATCTCAGTTGTTTAAAATGGAGAAGAGGGTAGATGGTGGGCGGGGCTAGATAAATGATAGATGATGAGAGATAGATTAGATAGATAGATAGATAGATAGATAGATAGATAGATAGATAGATAGATATAGATAGATAGATAGATAGATAGACTTAATTCCAAAATCTTCACCTGATAGAGCATTCTCCCCCCCCATCTCTCTTTTAGAGTTAATTCCAAATTTACCAAAGGATATGGAAACTCAACCCACATAGAGCTAGAGAAAATGCAACCTGTCTTCATCCCACTGCCTACAGTCCCTACAAATCCCTTCTAGGGACTTAGGACAACTAGAAACTTAATTCTGTATTGCATCATAACCCTTATATACATGGAACTTAAGTAACTATTTGGAAAGAACATGCATGATTTATGCACTTAATAACTTCTCCTATATTGAATATATACAGACATTGGCATCCTCTTATTTTAAGCCTAAATTAGTACTTTTTCTTCCTTGAGGTAAAGGAGAATCACCACTCAGGCGTTCTCTGACGTCAGGCCAGTCAACACTCTGATAATGCCCATTTTTCTATGACAAATCACCAAATATCGGTGACCTCATCATCAGAAACACACGTATGCACACACACATCCACATTTATTACAGTAAGTACAACAAATACAAATCTAATGTAGAGAATTTGCAAAGTAAGTACAAAATTAAGTAAAAAGGAAATCACCTATTACACTAACCAGAGGTAACCACTGTTAACTCTAATATACATGTTTATTTTGTCACTAATAAGTATGGATACATAAGTGTATTGATGACTGTGTCCTGTTGTCTTTCTGCTCTTATTCTGAATGTTTTCTCATGTCACTGGGTATTCAATTTCTAAACCAAAACTTCCACTGCAGCGTAGTCTCCCGTCATAAAAATATACTATAATTTATGTCACCATTTCCTCATTTCTTGAATCGTTGGTTTTCTGTTTGCTGTAAATTATATCGAATGAACATCCATATACAAAAGTCTTCGTGCACATCAATATTTCTTTCAAATCAATTCCTAGATCTGTAATTACTGGGTAAAAGGGCAGGACTATTTTTGAGGCTTTTGATGCTTAAGAAGTTACTGCGGCAACAATGTTGTCTTTGCTAGGCTCTAAAAGGTCAGTGCCTGAGTTCATGGCTCCCGGCCAAGCCTCAAAGAGCCGCAGCAGGAATCCCAGCGTGACTTCCTATATTCAATTTGGTTTCCATTTTGCCTTCTGCAAGTTTCATCAGGTTTAGACTCCAGTACCCAAGCAAATGTTCGTTTCACTTAGCATCTATCAAACTGGAGAAGTAAACTTGCTGTGACCTCTCATTTGCAGTCAATTTCTAAAGCAAATCCTGTTTTTAAAAACCTACATGGATATGAAGAAGCCTGACACCAGTTACAGGAATGCGTCCCATGTCCCCCTACTGAGGGATCCGGTGTACCAGGCAAAGGCCGAAACGCGCGGGGATGAACCCGGCGCCCCACACCGAGGCCCCTGTAAATGGCCCGCGGACTTGGTCTGGATTTGGACGCGATTTCCAGTTCAGCAAGCATGCCCCCTTCTAGACTTTGTGTAGCTAGTCTGTGGTAGGCACCATATCATTTCATGGCATAAAAAGCAGGTGGCAAAACTGGTGTTTCCTAAATGCCCGTGACTGGGCCGACTTCAGTCTGACCTCATGCTCTCCCCGTTTATTTCCGCAGACCTACTTCTTCACTGATGGGGGTCCAGTTCAGGACTTTCCTGAACCAGAGGAGAACCTGCTAAGTGGGGAAAGGGAATTCAGGGAGGAGAGGGAGGAAAAAGAGCAGGAGATTCCTGAAAATGCCAACACTGAAAAGATTTCTGTGGAAACACTGCTCAAAGTGTTCCGAGGACAAAGCGAAGCCCAAGACGCCAACCGATTTGCCAGCCACCTGAGGACAGAGAATGTCTACTCAGAGGTTTGTCAGACTTGGCCAAGGGGGCAAACCTGTGCATAAGGAAAGTTGCCCCAAGTTGGAGCACCTTTTTATGGAATTTCTTTATTAAGTAAAAACCGTTTTTTAACATTTGCAGAATTGTAAAGTTAATCCATTTTATGTTATTTTATTATTTTTTAAAGAACTTCATAAAAGTATTTCAGGACCTGGGTGCCAAGAACCTGGAACCGATAGAAGTCGCTGTTCTTCTGAAGCATCCTTTTATTCAAGACCTGATTTCAAGTTATCCAGCCTATAAGATTCCTGTGAGTATCACCCAAAGGCAGCGAACCTGGCTGAGCTCAGGTTCAGGGCACAGTGAGACATTTCAAACGTGTACTGGCAGAGAGGGGGAAGAAGCTGGATTGGGCCAGACAGGGTCTGGGGAAGCTAAGCTGGTAATGGCATCAGGCCAGACGGGCCAGCCTGCAGTACCCACGGCCAGCAGGGGTAAGCAAAGCACAGAAATCAATTGAAATTGATTTCTAATAAGCTCGCAGACCCTAAGCACTTCTGGTAGTAAAGCATGATTATAGCATTTAAGAACACAGGCTCTGGAATCAGAAAGTCATGGGACTGACTCTCGGGCCTACCACTCCCTCCATACCTGACTTTAACTCTCTCTCGATCCTGGCTTTCTCATCTGTTAAGTGGGGACAACAGCCATTCCTACTCAAAGGGCTGTGGTAAGGATTAAATGAGATTGTGCATCCGAAGCACTTGCCAAGGTATCTGACTGACGCTTGGCAAGCACTTCATAAATGATGGCTGTTGTGATTACCAGTCAAAACTGAGCACTTATTGCTGACGCCAGTAATATGAGGATCCATGAAACCCAGCTCAGCTGCTGCTCTCAAGCAACCCACTTCTGTGTGCAAGAGAATTTTCTCATGCAGGAATTACATGAGAATGATATAAGGTGAACCACCTAAACCCCCAAATGTGGGAATGCAAAATTTAGGGCCTTTTTGTATGTGTGTGCTGGAAGCTGACTCTTTAAATACGGCCAGGGTTTTGGAAAGTGGAGGGAGAGGAGAGGGCGTCGACCTGGTTTTGCTGCTGGCGTGGAGAGGAGGCAGCCTCCCAGGTGAGAGGAGAGGACTGGGCCAAGGTGTGGAAGCAGGACTGCTCAGGAGGAGCAGGTGCCTGAGCTGAAGGGCATCTGTGAAGGGCTTGGCGATCCCACCAGAACAGTAGGATCAGGCCAGACTATGCAGAACCCAGAGGTCACCTGGAGAAACTTAGACTTCATTTGAAAAGCAGTGGAGAGTGGACAGGCTTCTGAGCAGGGGTGTGAAATGCTATGAATTCCCTCATCCCTGAGTGTCTCTTTGTCTCTTAACCATATCGTATCATCATGTCTCTCCATTTTACGGGACTCTTTGAAAAATTATTTGCGTCTCTTTACTTAAACAGGTCTGAAATATTTGGAAACACAGTTGGCAGTCATTCTAAGCTGTTAAATTCACACAATCCACAGACATTTACTGTTTGCACTGAAACTATGTGTTGCGTGACCCTTTCCAGCATCTTATATTTCACACTTTCTTTTGTAAACATCAGCTTTCTTCCCCACTTTGCATGAGGAGGGCATAAGTCAGTACAGGCCTAGAATTAGTAGGGACAGAGCACCTCAGAACTAGACAAACGCAGTGAGAGGCAGGTGAGCAAGTGTCGCACGTAGGAGAGGGGAGTCACCAGTTGTGGGGATTGGCCCCCCTTTTTGTCTTCTTGACATCATTCTGGGTGAGGTCCAGTCCCCCGTGGAGATGTCCTGACTCCAGGGAAGCTGGGGTCCACACGGCTCTTTTTAAGTGTGTCCTCCCCCCACTGCAAAGAGCCTCGTCAACCTGCAGTGTTACCTCCACGGAAGTCCTCCTGCGTCTTGGACGGCACGGTTCCTCCTTGCACAGGACTGTCTCCGCTGTGGCAGGAGACATTTGGGGCCGCTACTGGCTGTGTTCCAGGAGAGCACCTTGACGTATTGACCCCCAAACTACCTTCACACATTCCCCAGTCTTCCCTGGCTGAGGGTGTCTGACCCCAGTGACCAGGTTTCATGGTATAGGATGGCCTGACCCTCTGGTAGCAGAAGGGGAGTTTGTCTGTCAGCTAGTCAGTCTGTCTGTTCGGTCTCCATCCTTCATCGCCAGAGTGTTTCTGCTGAGTCAGCTGCTTCAACTCTCCTCTTCTTGACCTTTGTGTCTCCCAGTCACTCCACTAAGGGTTGTAATGACAGTCCGTGGACCACCATCATCAGGACTCTCTCATGACTGTGAATCAAGGGGAGTTGAGCCTGTGACCTGAAAAGGCTTAATTCTGATGTTCTAAAGTGAAAGAAGTCCCCTTTCCAGTAGCATGCTCTATTCTCATTTTCACTAAGCAAAAAAGGAAAGAAAGAGAGAAAGAAGGGAGGGGGGAAAGGGGAGAGAGAGAGAGAGAAAGTCTCTGAAGACACTCAGGCATGCGTCTTGTCATCATTTTTTGTTCCAGATATCCATGTACAAGTAAATAGATCACATTTTAAAATGAACTTTAACCACAGTGGTGTTATTTGAAGATCTCTCAAGATAAGTAGAGCAAAAGCTAGAGTGTGGTTTTTCAGGTTAAAATGTTGTTTGCTTGTATAAACAGTGGGAACTGAAGGTTGTTGCCTAACAGCCCTGTTGGGCAACAGCTCTGTTTACAAGGTCATGTTTGGAAGCAGCAACATTTTTAAAAACATATTTGAAAAACCAAGTATGGATAATTATTTTCATAAGCTTTATTTTACTCCTGCTGGGGGGCTGGCCTGGCTTTGTGGTTAGGAGAGCAGGCTCAGGAGATCACACCAACAAATTGTGTGACCTTGGGCAACTGACCTCATGATGCCTTGGTTTTCCCATCTGTAAAATAGGGTTAATTATTATACATACCTCACAGGGTTCTTGTATGGATTAAATGACTTCATACATATAAAAGTGCTTGGCAGATATAAATCACTCAATATATGTTAGATATTATTATTACTGCTATTATTATTAGTGGTATGTTGGTAATTGCAGTGCACAGGAAATATTTCTGAGCTGCATGACATTATATGTGGAAGAACTAGTAAGCTGGCATGTTATCTCTTGAATTCAGCATCTGCTCTTGGAAAGAAGGAAAGCTGTCCCTGGTGCAGGGCCATGGTGAGAAAAGGTTCAAACTGAAGCCCCAGGAAAACCCATGTGGGAAATATCCTCCTGGAAAACTCAGATTTTATGTTGGATTTTATAGTTGTTCAATTAAAGTCACTTATTTCATTTCTACTTTCATAGATCTGATACAAAAAGGTTATTTTCAAGTAATGTTCCTAAATGATTAAGAAAAGGCTTTGGTTAAATGTGACAAGAGAACAGTGTAACTTGGCTAGTAGCGAGTAAAGTCAATTTCCTATGGCAAATATATTTACAAATGCAAATGAAGACATGATTTTCTACACCAACCCAACAAATGTAGTTTCTTATAGTGAACACAAGCTGAGTAAATGTGAATTTCCTTTAGCAAACCTCTAAATCAAGCATATAGCCTTAAAGTTAAGGTTTCCATTCAATAGGAGATAACAATAAATCTTTTCATGTTAAAATCAGAATGTTGCAGGAGAATTTCTGTGAAGACCTGATCACATGAGGACAAAATACCTATAAATATAAGTGTGACTTCAAGGGACTCTCATCCTATTTTGTCTTCAAGGTATCTGACTTTAAAATATGCTCCGACCTTCTCCTTTATCTTTATAACAAAATATGATGGCCATTTCAGTGCCTAGTGTTTTCAAAGCTCCTGGGTCAAACATTTCCAAACTCTCTCAAGCTTTGCTCAGTTGACTGCTCCTGAAAATTATGGCCCATGATTTCAGCTATAAACTTAGCCAAGGTTGGTTTAAATATCTAGAGCCTATAAATCTCTCCATCCTACGGAGTGTCAGATAACCACAGGTCGGCTCACTCCTTAATCACCGAGTTGACAGTCAATAGTCAGCTTTAGTTATTGTAAATGTCCTATTCAAGGAAAATGTGTTATTCAGAGTTGGGGTGGGTAGGACCCGTCGTAGTAAGCAGCTTTCTTCTTCACTTAGTTCACTCAAGATTGGCCTTTGGCTGTAGAAGACCTGAGTTTCAAAGAAAGATTCCCTCAAGAAAATGATTCACTATGATTCCTGGCAGTGACTGGTGTAGCAATGTGTGTCACTCCACCGAGCTCTCTCATGCCTTCTTGAGTAAAATGGCCACAGTCAAATTGAAACCTTTGGAACTCAGCTCTGCAGAAAAGAAACTTATTCTTAAAGCACTTCCCTAAATCTGTGGGAGGAAAAACAAACTAGAAACCGCATAAACATAATTCTACATTTTCCAATTGTGTTTCTACCCCTCCTACATTGTGATAGTATTTTAAGTTTAGTTTTAAAGATATTTGTGATTTAAAATGTCAGCAAGCTGAGTATTTGAAGTGGATGAAAAACAGATCCTTCTATCCCTGATATTTAAAAAATCATGAAGAAATGAGGCAACTGCCACCCCCTCAATCATGTGCTGTTCTAAAGTTCTACAAGTCTGTAGCCATGGTTCATTTAGCATTAGAGCTTTCCTTTAATAGCAGGTGGATGCTGCTTTTTATTCATTAATAAGGAAGTAATCTTTTGGCTTACACATTATGTAACTGCTTTTATAAATGTTACTTAATCTAACATGAAAATTCCATTTTTAAATGAGGAAAAGCAGGCTCCTAGGTCTTTGATATCTTTCCAAGGGTACAGCTAGTAAGTTGTAGGGCAGGATTCAAACTAAATAGAGTACAATTTTATCAAAGGGAAAAAATGGAAACCAACTTACTCTTAATCACTGCTATATATTAAATGATCATTAATACTGTCACTTACAAATGTTTGTAACTTCTCTTTGAATCTCTTCTCAGGATATTAAAATAATTCTCCAAAGGAGTGTGCATGTGCAAGGAAACTGAAGAGAGGTCTCTCTCAAGACTTACAGAGGAAAGGAAATGAAAACAAAAGAGTGTGATTTTTATAATTTGGCAATGAATCTCCCAGCATCAAACATAAACATGGTGTTTGTCATGTATGTTATTGTAAGTGTAGAAATGATCCCTACCAGGTCATGAGGGGCCTTCTTTAACTCAGCGAATATTCTGTAATGAATCTTAAGTTTCTGAGCAGAAATCCAAAGTGAGAAGGAATGTATTTTGAGTGATTCTGAAAAATAGAAGGCACCAGAGCAAGATATTAAAAATCAACACAGGAGTGATCCCTATGAGAAGTATCTAGATGAGGCAGATGCAGTGAAAGTTGCCCCAGAGCTCCACACCAGGGCAGTGCTGCTGTGGACGTTTTGTGGGTCTTGCTCCGTGTGCAGTAAATTCCAAGGTTCTTCCCACTAGCTAAGGAGAAGGCCACATTATCAACCACTAGGACATGCTCCTATAGTCATGCTCCTATAGTCTGTTCATGATTCTTCCATAATAGAATAGAATGTTTCCTGTATAGATAGATGTACAATCATATCTTTTTAGTTTTATATGTTAGCAAATCAAATTCAATGATACTTATCTCAAGCAAGTTTATTTTTAAGTGAAGATAATGTATTCTCAGTGGCCGGGCTCCTATGAAACACCCTCTGGGTCTCCACACCAGCTTAGGATATCCTTCTGAGGACATCTTGCTGGATCCTCCTCTCATAGATGTTGCAAGGTCTCCAAAATGTTGGAGGGCCCCAGCGCTCAGTCTTTTCTATTCACAGTCAGTCCCTGGATGACCCATCCATTTCCATAATTTATGGGCATTATAGAAGCTAATACTAAAATTTCTATTCCCATCTTCCCTGCAAACTTCTCTTTTACTGTCCATTTGATTACCACATGGGTTGGTCATAGGTTGATCACAAACGCATTTCCACAGCCAACAGAGGAGCCAAGTCAGGTCATATCACCCCTCTGCTCCAATCCTCTGTTGATGTCCATACAGAGCACAGCCCAAGTCCTCACCTTGCTCTCACCCCTTGCTACCTCTTTGATCTCATCTCTTGCTATGCTCCCTCTTGCCCACTCTGCTTAAGAAACAAATCCACCTTGTTGATTCTGGAACACACCAGGCACATACCTGCCTCAGGGCCTTTGCTTTTTTTTTCTCTCTCTCTCTCTGCCTGGAATGACTTTCTCCCAAATGTCTCAGCTAGTCCCCTGACTTCCTTCAGGTCTCTGTTCAAATTACACTTTGCCAGTATGGCCTTCCCTCAACACAGAATACAAAATAGAAATAACCCACCACCCCACACAGTTCACCTCCACTTCAGTTTTTTTTCCATTGTTCTTATCAACATCTGGCAAACTATGTATTTCCTCTTGTGCTTGTCTGTCGTTCCACTAGGTTGTAAGTTCCATGAAGTCAGGAATTTTATGTTATTTTCTTTATTGCTATGCCCCCAAGCCTAAGACTAAAATAATAACCAGCTTTACACTGTGTTGATACATTTATGCAAAATGTGTGGAAATGTCACATTAGAATTGTTTATGAAAACAATGAGCAGTTTCTATTGTAGGTGGGAATTATACTCTATTTCTAGGGGATGATACATCTCCTAAATTCACTTCTGTGAATAAGGTTTACCCAAGGCTTTGTTCCCAAAACCCTTGTCTTCAAGATGAAAATTAGTGACCCAGAAGCATGCGTGGGAAGTGGAGAAGAAACTCTACCAGAGATTTCAGAATTTCAGTTTAGCTGATTTACATGTAATTCTAGTTATGGCCAAATAATTCTAGTTATTCTAGAGAAGGGAACAGAGTAATACAGATGTCTTCCGCTATCCTGAAGTTCACGTTATGCCACTTCACTTTTATGAAAGACCTACATTAATGCAGCAACAACTTTTTTCAAAAAAGTGACAGTCTCTTTGGATGTTCTTTCCCTTCTCTTTGTTTTCCCTTCACACCTAACTCTCAGTGTCCATTTATTTCAAAGATCCATTTCTTCATCTTTAATAAAGACTGATGTTTTAGGTTAATTCCTGGGTAAAACCAGCAAAGGAGTCACCATTTCCTCCAAGTCACAGGTCCAGGAGGTGTCAGCATGGACTGCTTGAAATACCTGCTTCCAGGTCATTTCCTGCCAATGTAACATTGGCCTCACAGGAGGTTTATGCCAACTGTGGCTGCCTTCTCCCCATCCTGATCAAACCCACCCACTAAATTCTCACCATCATCTTCACCATCTTCCACTATTTGTGCTCCTCTCTCCGTCTCTCTCTCCCTGCACCAAATATTACCATGTCCTCCAGCTGTTTCCTTTGTGAGGTGGATCTGAAGTGTCTTATCCGGGTTGCTCTCCTCTGGATATCAGCCTGGCATTTTACAGGATCCTTTACAGTATCCTCATGTATCCTTGGGAGCAAGGTAAACACTACAGCCTGAATGCGAAGACAAGTGAATTTGTATTGGAGCGCAGTGTTGGTGGAGTGGCTTCAGCAAACAGAGGAGACTCATCACATGAGTAACTCATTGTGTCTCCTCCTCAGTGGATTGTTAGCTCTGGGAGACACTGACCATGTCTGTCTATGCACCTCGGTGACATAAAACACGAAAGACATTCAAAGAAAGATACAGAACCCATGCAAATTGTAATTATGGTTGACACAGTGTTGGAAGACATTTGAATTAAATTGTGATTAATAAGAGAAAGAATACCCAATGACATGGTTAAGATACTAACAGGTAGTAACCGATAATAATGGCAAATATTGTTGAGGGTTTACCAGGAGTCCGGCAGCGTGCTGGGAGCCGTCACAGGTATCACCTCACTTATTTCTCACCACTCCGTGAAATGGTTACTCTTCAGCTTGCCGTTTACAGGTAATACAAGTGATATTTAGAGAGATTATGTAACTGCCCAAAGTCACACGGTTGGTAAATAATACATACAGACTAGAAACCCAATATTAACCCCCAAAGTATTCCTCTTACCCACCTCAACTTTGGTACAAGTAACCAATTACACAACACAGGATGGAGGAAGTATGGATTAGCAGTATTTTAAGTTTGTTCCAAGTAAACTGTATTCAATTTACTGTGATGTGTCCCCTAAAGAATCCAGTGTCCTCAAGCATTCATGGTAGGAAGGGAGATGCTGGCTCTCCACTGATCTACAGTGGTCAGACCTCAGCTGCAATTCCATGTGCAGTCCATGGTGACACACTTTCGTATATGCACACTTCATATGTGCAGATGAACTGATATGAACATTTAAAAGTGAGGGAACTCAAGATCCCTTAACCTGAGCCTTGACTGGAGAAGTTCCGACTCAAAGAAAAATGGAGCCATGCCAACTATTTGAAAAGCTGCCCAGATGGAGTTATCTTTTTTGTGGTCCCCAGGGATGAACCAGCACTAGGATGGATGCTGCAGCAAGACAGACTTCAGCTGACCACGTGGAGCTCCAAGCTCCCTGTTGCCGGAAGTATCCTGACAGAGGCAGGATACCTGGTGGTAGGGAAGTTGGCAGCCGTGACAGGAGCCCAGAACCTGACCCCTTTGTCCTGCTCCTACCGCAATTCTATCTCTACTGGATCAGCTTCTCAGCTCTGCTACCCCAACTTCCACCTCCCCAAAGGGCCCTTTCAGCTGGGTCTCCATCCTGTGTGGGTCTCACCTTTCTTTAGAGCATTTCAACTAGTCTCAGCCCACAGTTGGAGCACCTCATAGTCCCCTGCACTAGAACTCCCACCCGTGGAGCCCAATACTACCCTTCAGCCACTTAGCTGTTCCCCTGCCCAGGGCAGCCTGTGGTTCCCTAAGGGAGGAGTACAACGGAAGCAGAAGGGATGCAGACACTGGATGAGGCATTTGGTGGATGACTTCATGGCTCCATCCATTTCCGAGGTTCCCTGGGAAGAGTGCCTGCTCCTAATTTCCCATCCTGTATTAACAGCATCTCCTGGGACCTCCTGGTCTCCAGCACTCCAACCTTAGTGAGTCCCGGCAGCCTCATTCTCACTCCCCCTCCACACCCAGGACTTGTCATTTCTCCTCATAAGTGTCTCTCTCATGTCTTCTCTCCTTTCAGTTCCCACAGTGTCCACCTTATTTCAAAGGCCCTCAACATCTTTCTTCTGAACACTTGTAATAGCCCTTGATTACCCCCCTATTTTCTGCATCTTCTCCAAAATGTTCCATTTTCTACCCCAACCCAGCCTCTATACTACTCCCAAATAACCTTCCTGGAACTCTGCTTAGGCACCTCACACTTTTGCTTAAAAACCTCCCCTCTGATCCCTTGCTATCAAATAAATTACACATTTCTTAGAATGTTGTTTAGAATCTATATCTATGCTTATCTTTCCCTCACACTCAAGTTCACGCAGCATCACTCAGCACAGCCCCTGGTGCTCATTAGATATTCAATAACTATGGAATGAATGAATGAATGAATGAATTAATGAATGAATGAATGAATGAAGAGGGATGTCTCCTTTTAACAGAAGTTCTAGGAGGTAGAGAGACACCTTTTATAGTCAAGTTGTTCCTGTAATTTTATAATTCCCTCATGCTAGATCTACAGAGAGAGCTGATTTAATCTTTTAGGATTATTTGTTTGTGGGAGAGGAGGTAGGAGGAGGGTCACATTCCTCCTGTCTGAATGTCCCCATGCTGCTCTAGAGAAGAAAGTTGACATCACATCTGCTAGAGGCTGATTGACTCATGGAAGCTAATGAAAACTAAGAATTAGCTCTATTATAATCAGCTCCTTTTAAGACCTAGAGCCTGGTCTAAGCCCTAAACAGGTCAAGCCAGCAGTCCCCACCATCTGGGCTCCTCTAGGTCCCACCCAACTCCCTACCCGTTTCCTATCTAAACAAAGGATGCCTTAACTCTACTTCTACACCTTGCCCAATTCAATCTTTCTCTCCTATATTTGTGGCATATTTGAATAACAAATGTATGTGTCCTGTTGGAATAGCTCCTGGGGCCTCCCATAGCTTTCCTGCCATGTTCTCTGAC